CCCCTACGCGGGCTGTTCGGTGCTCTGCCCCTGCAGCTCCCATTGGCCGTGGCTGCCAGTCAATGGGAGCAGTGCTGGGGGAGGGGCCAGCGCAAGGAGCCCTCCAGCTGCCCCAGTGCAGAGGAGCTGGAGGGAGGAGATGTTGCTGCTTCCAGGGGCCACGCGGAGCAGGGCCAGCCTCAGATCCTGCTCCCCGGCGGGAGCTCGAGTGTCGGATCAAAACAGCCAACGGGCCGTCGTCTGCCCACCCTGGCCTAGAGGGACCCATTGCACTGGGCCCCACATGGAGATATGAGAAGAGACCAAGCCCTCCCCCAAAGGGAGGCTCATTATCCCCATTTCACAGGTGGGGAAACAGAGGCACGGAGCAACCGACTCGCCCACGGCCAGGTGGGGCTACGAATTGAATCCAGAGCTCCCAAGTCCCCACCCAATGCCTGAGCCACAAGCCAACCTTCCTCCTGCCCCAGATGTCCATAGATCCTTCCACCCCTCACAGCCCCCCACCCTCTCCCCCACCGGTGCTGGCACACAGCCCCTCACCAGCCTTCCGCAGCTCCACGATGCGCTGCTCGTAGACCTGCGTGCCGAAGTCCTGCGGCACCTCGGGAACGTCCAGGCGCTGGTGGATCTGGGCCATGATCTCTTTGAGCTTCCTGCCAAAGGGGTCCTGGGGCACAGAGCAGGGGGCTGAGCTGTCCCCCTGACAGTGTGAAGGCCCCTGCCTCGGTCCACCCCCCTCCCGGCCCTTCCCCGAGGGAGTGTGTTAAGCCCCCCAGAGCAGTCTCCGGCCTCCCCCCGGCAGCGGCTGTGCTGAGGCGGGGTCTCTCTGCCCCCTCGTGGCTCGGCGCGCCCTGTACCTGCGGCCTCTCCTGGGACACGTCGTACTGCTTCTTGGGCTGCGGGATCTGAGCCTCCAGGTGCCGGCGGTGCTTCTGGGACGACATGATTTTGGCCGTGTCCAGGTTGGCGCAGATCTGAAAGGGTTTGATCCCCCACACACACACGCCCAATGAGCCACGAGTGAAGCCAGCCCCTTCGCGCCCTGCTCTGAGCCGCGGGCACCAGGCCGGGGCCGAAGGGCACGTGCTAGGGAGGCCAGATGTGCCCCTATAGGGGAACCCTCAGCATCTCTGTGTGGGCACAGCTGGCACCACCAGCCACTCACCTGCCCCCACCCCTTGGGACGTCCCCTGGTGGATGCCCGAGTGAACAGCACTGCAGCTCCGGGACCCACGTGGCTGCCATGGCCAGAACCTCAGGGGTGGCAGGAGGCCAGAGGGCACGTGCTAGGGAGGCCAGATGTGCCCCTATAGGGGAACCCTCAGCATCTCTGTGTGGGCACAGCTGGCACCACCAGCCACTCACCTGCCCCCACCCCTTGGGACGTCCCCTGGTGGATGCCCGAGTGAACAGCACTGCAGCTCCGGGACCCACGTGGCTGCCATGGCCAGAACCTCAGGGGTGGCAGGAGGCCAGCACCCTGGCGGACGGCTCCCCAAATCCTGCCCCAACGGCCTTTTCCAGCCACCAAAAGACAAGCCTGGTGCAATCGCAGAGAGGGGCTGCAGGCACCTGGGACAGTGGGGGCAGCCGGGCACGTCACCCGCTCAGCTGGGACGGGCGGGTGGGGCGCGCTCCCCTCACCTGCAGGATGTGCTGCCGGGCCCCCTGGAAGGTGCTGGCCCCCCCAGTGCTGGGTGAGGCAGTGAGGCCCAGAATCTGCGGCAGCTTCTTCTGGCCCTTCAGCTTGCGCTCCAGGTAATCCTCCATGATCCGGTTGTAGACGGCGTCCTTGTGGGTGTGGTGGCATTCGTCAATCACCAGCAGGGAGAAATCTGCCCAGGGAGACGGGGCTGAGCCACGCTGAGGGGTCCAGCGTGTGACTGACAGCGGGAAGGGGGTCTGGGGGGGAGGGAGCGTGATTAGCGTGCTAGCGAGGGGGTCAGTTCCCAGCTCTGCCACTGACTCCCTGGGGCATCTCTGGTAAAGTCACTTAGCCTATCGGCCAACAGGCCCGGGTGGATTTTGAGGTTCAGATACTGTGGCAAGGGGGCCGTGTGAGAAGGGGGACAGGGCGAGGGCCTGCTCTGCGAGGTGACCAAAGGCCAGCTTCTCAGCCAGCGTCAGTCGGCCGGGACACAAGCTGGGAATCCAGGCCCCACCCCGCCCCACCCAGCTCCTACCCGTCAGCTCCACGTGCATGTCCGGGTCCTGATGGCCGTGACCTGGAAGCGATCCTGCAGCGCCCGGAATTCCTGTTGGTAGTGCTGATCCACCAGGTGCACCTGGCCACCCGACGTGGGAGAAAGGCCCAGTCAGGCTCCTGGGCCGAACCCACCTGCCCCGAAAATTCCCTGAACTAGGGGAGGGAGCTGGGGAGAGCCCCATGGACAACAGAGGGCAGGACAGTAGGGCCCCACGTGACCTGGAAGCGATCCTGCAGCGCCCGGAATTCCTGTTGGTAGTGCTGATCCACCAGGTGCACCTGGCCACCCGACGTGGGAGAAAGGCCCAGTCAGGCTCCTGGGCCGAACCCACCTGCCCCGAAAATTCCCTGAACTAGGGGAGGGAGCTGGGGAGAGCCCCATGGACAACAGAGGGCAGGACAGTAGGGCCCCACTGCCCAACCCAAACCGGCCACACCCTGCCTGTCCAGGGGGCCCCGACACAAGGGCAGGAATAGGGTTGCCAGGTGTCCTGTTTTGAACCAGACAGTCCAGTATTTGAGCTTTCAGTTTGGGAAACACATTGAGAAAATAGGAACGTCCAGTATTTTCTAAGATGGAATGTCAATTGGGAGGTCATGTCAAGTGTGTCCGGTATTTTTGTTGAAACCATCTGGCAACCCTAGGTAGGAGTTTGGGGTCTCTCCCTCCTTAGCATGGGTTTTAAACACAGGACTTCAGCACAGCCCTCGCTACCACCGGAGCGAATGGAGTAGCGCAGCGAGCTGGCAGCAGTAGTAGGCTGTTACCCTCTCACACAGACCATTCATGCAGAGAACACAGACAGTGCCAGGTGCCATGCTGGGCAGTGGGGGATGAACCTGGCAAGGCCTGGCAGCTGTGCATGTAGAAAGGCTGCAGCCTCCAGAAATGTTTGGCCCAAGGGACTGAGCTAGATCTCGGCTATCCAGGCAGAGGGGGAATCAGGCATGTCCTGCCTCCAGTGCTTTTCCACTGCCCTGCCTAGTGTGATGCCAGCCAGAGTGTGGGTAACTAGCTGGTTCGCCCTCTGTCCCCACTGCCATGCCTGGCACACGGCAACCACCCAGCAACCACGGGGACTTGGACCCACGCGGTTCCTCTCCAGCACGTCGATTGAGCCAAGAGCTGAAAGTCTGGGACCAGTCCCCTCTCCAGCTGCAGCCCCAGACAGCCCCAGCGCAGCCCCACCACACCCTGGCCACGCTGGGAGAATCAGCCCCCTGCAGCTCCAGCCTCACCCTGTTCACCAGCACAGCCACCTTGGCCCGCTCCCGGGTCTCCAGATGCCTCTTGCACACGTAGGCGGCCGCCCGGGTCTTCCCGGCGCCCGTGGGCAGCCAGATGATGATGTTCTGGCCCTCCAGGGCGGGCAGGATCACTTCCCACTGGTAGTCGCGCAGCTCCATGGGGGCGGGCACTGGGCATGGCCAGGAAGCCCAGGGCACAGCAGGAAGGGGGCAAAGCCGGGGTCAGCATGGACACAGCAAGACGGGGTCAGGCCCCCAGCCCTGCCTTCCAACCCCTCCTCTCTCGCCCCCTGCCTAGCTTCCAATCCATCATCCCCCCCAATATTCCCCTTCCCCTCCCCTCTCCTGGCTTGCAGTCAACCTTCCCCCACGCCGCACGCTCCCGGCAGGCAGAGCACAGATCAGACCCAGCGCAGCCCCCAGCCCTGCACCCTAGAATACAGACCCACAGGGTGAGATGGGACCGTGGGTAGCTCATCTGCCCCCTCCCCCCCGGGTCTGTGAGCCTGGGCAGGATGCCCCTGCCAGCCGGCGGCTGCTGGCAACACCCCCAGCCCTGCAGCGCCCCTCTCCACCCGGCATCACCCCGCTTTGCAAAGCCCAGGCCTGGCTGCAGACCAGGGCGAGTGTCTGGCTGGCCTGGCAGCTGCTGACTCTGCAGGGGGCAGCGCCCACCAGCCCCCGGGGCTTTTAACCTCTCCCTTCAGACCTGAGAGCCACGCCTGCCTCTGCCCC